TGACACCTGTGTACATAAATTTTAATGTACTGCTCTGTAATTTTTTAATGAGATGTAAATAGGACAGGGACTGTAAGAACTTGAAAATGGTAATTAAGATGGGAGTGAAGTTTAATTCTAGTGGTGTCTTCCAAGAAACCAATAATAGGTTTAGGTTATTCCAGTTATGTAAATCTTTTAAGTTGAGTGGCTAAAGGGAAAGCATTTAATTTTAAAAGGTCCAAAAAATCTTTGGCTACATGGACTCCAATATCCCTAATTAAAGTGGTGCACAAGACAAAGTTAAATGATCTTCAAAGGCCTCTGAATGGCCCTGGGCAAAGTCCAGAGGGAGAGGCTCTGATTTATTGTAATTCATTTTGAATCCAGAAAATTCTCCAAAAATGTTACATTGCTTCAATATATTGGCTAGGGACACTATAGGGTTACTGGCAAAAATTAATGTATCCTCAACATATGTAATGCAATCTGCTGTTCAATATTGGTCATTCCTATACCAAAAATACCATTGCTGGAATGAATTCTTTGCATCAGACTGCATAATAAGTGCAAACAATAAGAGAGATAAGGGTTAGCTCTGTGTAGTACTATATTTCAGCCGCAGGCTTTTGGAATCATAACCATTAATAAGGATCTTGGCTGCTATAGTTGGGTACATTAATCTTATCCAAGTAATGAATTTTGGTCCAAATCCCATCAGTAGAAAAGAAGAATGATTATTCAACCTGATCAAAGACCTCTTTGTCATCTCCAGATAGATTTGTTGCAGAAGTATTATTTAATATAACAGAGAGAAATGTGTTTAATAATCTTATAAAGTTATCAGTTCAATGTTTATTCTGTATAAATCTTACTTAATCACGGTGGGCTAATTCAGGAAGAAATTGTATGTTAAGAAATTAAATGGGCTTCTTTAGGGTCCTTGTCTTTTTTTTGTGTATGGTAGCAAACATGGCAACAAAGATAGGTCCCTATTATGCAATCGGGTCCACGCAGATGGATTTCCATACTGTGATCAAAAGTTTTCTGGTAGAAGTTGGTCAGTCTTAGGACCATATATGGTCCTTACCTTCAAGGCTCTTCATAGTTTAGCTCCACCTTACTTATCCAGTCTCTTCTGTCCTTTAGTTCTCCCAGTAGCATCTTACAAGCACTTTTGTGGTCTTCTTACATGCTGTCCCTCATGCATGGGACATCTTCCCCAAACAGATTTACATAGTTGCTTGCCTCTCTCCCTTCATATCCTCTAATGATAATGGTTAGGCAGATGGCCTATATGGCATTCATTACTATCTCTTCCTCACCTATCCTATTTAAAAAACAAATAAACATAAAGAATGATCAAGTGGGCTGTCCCGGGTAGAGGGTGGGGAGAGCAGTATTGTTATCAGTATTGTTTTACTATTGAGCTGGAGGAAGAAGTCAAATATGAAACTGCAGATCTCTAGCTAGAGTTGTGAAAAACCCATTATCAATGATGAGAAGGGAAACATTGCTTTTCCTCTTACAAAATGCCCCACTTCCATTTATTTATGTATTGGTCTGTGCAAAATACAATATGAATGATAGGAAAATGGTTTCAGCTAACTTGATTCAGGTAAAAAATTGCACATTGATCAATATTGAATAGCACTTCATGAAAATACCGGCTTTACTGGATTATTGGCTATCCACCTGGCAAAAATTTGGTGAACATAACATGAAGCAAAACTAGGGAGTTCAGCACAGCATTGTCACCAACAGAAGCCACTATCTGTAACAGAAACCCAGGGAACAAGCGAAATGAAACTTCTGCTGCCAGGCTGATTTTAACTAGAAATCATCTGTCATAATCTGCATGTAAATTCTGATCTCACATCTCACTGTAAGAATTCCAGAGACTGAGAGCAATTATCCTATTCAGAAAAGTGGCATTTCTTTAGGTACTTGTTACGCAAAATAATGAATGTATTAAATAAGACAAGACAACACTGAATCATAATACTGGCATGGATGTTTTTAATTTGAATGGTAAAGAAGAAACAAGGAAATTCTGCCTACATAAATTCTCATTTTACATCTGTCTCCCACTCTCATTCTCTGCCTTCTTGCATGCAGCCTCTTAGGGCTAGATTTTCAAAGGTATTTAGGTGCCTAAAGAGGCAGATAGGCACCTAGAGGGACTTTCAAAAGCACCAAAGAAATTTACATCACTTTTGAAAATCCCACTAGATATCTATCTGTATCTTTACCTTTAAAAATCTGGCCCTTTGCCATATGACTGACTTTCCCCATGCCTCTACACACCCCTTCAATTAATTACCTGTTTACAGTACACATTTTTAGGATAGGTTTCAGAGTAGCAGCCGTGTTAGTATGTATGTGCAAAAAGAACAGGAGTACTTGTGCACTTTAGAGACTAACAAATTTATTTGAGCGTAAGCTTTCGTGGGCTACAGCCCACTTCTTTGGATGGATAGAATGGAACATATATTGAGGAGATATATCTCCTCTCTGTATGTGTATATATGTATCCTCAATATATATTCCATTCTATGCATCCGAAGAAGTGGGCTGTAGCCCATGAAAGCTTAAGCTCAAATAAATTTGTTAGTCTCAAAGGATAGGTCTACACTTACCTCCGGGTCCAGCGGTAAGCAATTGATCTTCTGGGATCGATCCCGGAAGTGCTCGCCGTCGACGCCGGTACTCCAGCTCGGCGAGAGGAGTACGCGGCATCGACGGGGGGGCCTGCCTGCCGCGTCTGGACCCGCGGTAAGTTTGAACTAGGGTACTTCGAATTCAGCTACGTTATTAACGTAGCTGAATTTGCGTACCTTAGTTCGAAGTGGGGGGTTAGTGTGGACCAGGCCTAAGGTGCCACAAGTATTCCTGTTCTTTTTTTAGGATAGGTAGCCTATAAAATCTAGACTTCCCCATCCCTCGAAGAAGTGTTAACTAAATAATAGAAAGCACTATAACTCCTTTACATCACACCACCCACCTCCCCCTCACAAAAACCAAACAAACCCCAACCTTCCCCCCCACAAAATAGCAAAAATTGTGGATTTAACAAGACATCTGACAAACTGCACTGCTTAGTACTTAATTAGCTTCTTGTCACATCCCCTTAGGGTCCAGTCCTACAGTGAGGACTGTATGGGCAGACTCTTCTGCCCATTGGGGCCCACTGAAGTCAGTGGAACAACACCTGGTTTCAAGGATCTGGTCCTGGTGTTCTTAGATTGTTAAATCTTTGAGGCAGGGACTATCTTATCACTGTGCGTATATGCCTGGCACAATAGGGTCCTGACCCCTGTCTGGGGTTTGTAGGTTTTACCACAATGCAAACAATATAGGCCAATTAGCTTATCCTTCTTCTGCACTTCTCTATTTATAAATGTTTTCATTACACGTAAAAATAATTTGAAACATTTTATTTTGTTTGCATGTAAGCATTTCACAGTAGTATTTTCAACTCATACATTGCAGCATTCTACTGATGCATGAGGACCAGAAAAGGAAACCTGAGTGGTTTAATTTAATTGTCCAAATTGAATAAAGTACAAAAAGTAAACACAGCATAAATGGTTCAGAGTAAACTGGATTATTAGAGTCCATTCATTTTTAATAATAGAAGGTGCAAGTGGTAAAAGGTAAAGGGACTGGTTTATTTAAAATACAAAATTTAATCCAAGATGATCCCCCCTTTTTTTTTAAAGGAAGGCCCTGGCTGCTTTGTGTGGACATTAAAGAACCCATGATACTTTTCTTGAGTTGGGGAGGGATCCCCCCAATGTCCTTTACCAAAATTCCCATGTCTGCCACTGTTGTGTTTATTATACTGATTGTATGCCTGTTTACCAGACAGGTGGCTGAATTTCCATTATTAACCTGTATGGGAGTAAAGGTGATCTTGTGGCAGAGGCCTGAGAGCCAGACAATTTAGATTCTACTCCCACCTCTGCCACAGGTTTCTTTTGTCATCTTGGGCAAGTCATTTAGGTGAGGTTCCTGCAGATACTGAGACCTGGTCTCAAAATTTAGGTTGACACAGCTACAGCACTCAGAGGTGTCAAAAATCTACATACACCTGATCATTGGAAGCAATGCCAACATAATCCCTGGTGTAGGATCATGTAAAAATGTTTCTGTCAACCTAGCTACTCTTGCTCAGGGAGGTGGTGTTCCTACAGTGAAGGAAAAATCCCTTCCCTTGCTGTAGGCTGTGTCTACACTATGGGGTTACAGTGGTGTAGCTATGGCACTGTAGGGATGTTTCTGTAGCGCCCATAATGTAGACATGGCCTGACACCCACGAGTTACTTTATATGTGTGAGTAATCCAGGACTACTACTCACACATGTAAAATTACTCCTGTGCAAAAGTGTCAGCAGCATCAGGGCCTTATAACCTCTCTGTGCTTCAATTTATCTGTATTTTAAAATTAGGTTAATATAATACTTAGCTCTTGTCTACATGGAGAAATTTACTGGCATTACTATGGCAGTATAATGATACAGGTTTAAATTAAATTCTGCCAGGAAATTTCGCTGTGTAGACAAGCTCTCAGTCTTCTTCCTCAACAACTTTGTTCTGCTCCCAGCATGAGCTCTGTGGTGGTGAATCTCTGCAAAAAGCATAGACTGCACCGCAGAATCGGGGCCACAACGCCTGGAAACACGAGATTGTTGTGAGAATATCAGCTTTAATAATAATAATACAAAAATTACTAGCCCTCATGTTTGCAGGCTACACATTTGAAACGTGAAGCAAGTGTACCCTAAAGACTGCAAAACCAGATGGAAAATAAAAAGTAGCCAAAATGTATTACTGTTTTTTTAAACAGTGCTTTTTAAGTCACTTTCGTGATTTTTTGAACGCTAGAGGCTGGCCCTGACGAACCAAACTAATCCAGCAATGCAGGAGGAGCACGACCCAGTACTTTGTAGAGGGGCCCCAAGGCAGCTGCAGCTGCTGGCGGGGGTGGGAATTTGGAGAGGATCCCTCGCCGGCCTGGTGTGTGTGTGTTATATTGGCAGTGGGGTAAGTGGAGGCTGGGCGGCTCCGACTGCCTGACGCCAGTGAGACCAGATCAATCCAGGCACAGAGGCAGAGCGAGTGCAGGGCTGCCTGGCGGCTGGAGCCGCAACAGCAGCAGCCGGAGAGGAAGGAGCGAGCGGCCGCGGCGTTCGGTGTCTCCTTTGCCCGCTTCGCCGCCCAGCAGCCGGTAACAACTTTGCGCTTCTTTGCCCTCTCCCAAGCCGGCTCCTGTGCCTGGGCGGGGACCCCTCCTACCCCACCTCTGCGTCCTGGGGCTTGCTGGCTGGTCGGGGCCGGGGCCGGGGCCGGGCAGGGCTTGCTGCAGCCAGGGAAGTGGTTTGAATGGTGGCTACGCTTTGGCTTGTTGCCCCCCCCCCCTTCCCCGGTTATTTCTAACCTCAGGCTCGGGTCCGGGCTTCTTCTTTTCATCACGATTTTGGGTAAGGAGGGACGGTTTTTTTTTTTTTTTGGAGGGGGGACAGGGTTTTTCTCCAGCATGATGGCGTCTCTGCGGGTGCCTGCAGAGAAACCTGTGACTTCTGTGCTTTCTTCTTTGCTGCCTTCCTTGGTTTAAAGTTTCTGGGTAGATTTCTTTGTTGGGCTGGAGGAAGAGAAAATAGACCCGCCAAGAGCTCTCTCCTTCCCTCTTCCTCTCTCCCTTTTTCCCCCCTCTCATTAGAAAACCCTATTCCTGGGGCTTCTGCTGCTTCAGACTTTTGTCCTGGCCCCATTGTGTTCAAAGCCAAGTGGGAGAAACTTGTAACAGTTCCTGTAAAGCTCTGGCTAACACAAGGCAAATGCCCTTTGTTTTTATTTGGGAAAAGCATTTCTCTAATGACTTGGCTAATCCAAATCTTGGTTCCTCCTAATGGATTTGCTTTTTGCAACAAGATTTGTTTAGAGGTCAAGGAAAGTTCACTTAAAATTTTTCTGATTATTAGGAGGTTTGGATGCACATGATTTTTCTTCTCTCAATGTGATTTTCAATTTACTTCTACTTTACAGAATGAGATTATCCAGCTATAGATGTATCTTTAAATTTTATTAAGATATGTCCATGTGCAAGTGTTCAATCATGCTTTCTAAAGTAGCTGGGCCAGACCCTATCATTTTTAATGAAGTCAGTGGGAGTTTTGATTGAGTAAGAACTACAATATTTGTCCCTTCGTTAGCAGTTTATAAAAATACAGAAGATGTGCAGGCTGGTTTTGCAGTTTGCTTGTAGAGCATATGCTTATTTGTAGTTTCAGTTAGGAAAAAGAACTGATGTTCATCGCATCTAAGAATAGGTGCCACCCTTCTCTTGGGTGGAGTATTTGATGGTCAGAAACATCTAATTCTGCTTTTTTTTCCGTTGGTGTATATTTCAGATTAAGGCTGGGCATATATTTGCTTTTGTTTATGGCAGACATAATAGGATATGATGTCTCTAGAAATTAGCATTTTAGTTAAAAGGTTATATTTTGGACAGCTCTACATGTAAAAACTGGCAACTCTTGCCTCTTCTGACTTCTCCTTCCCTGTAAGACTTAGCTTGTGTGTGATTTTGTATGTTACACAACATGAAACTCAAAACTGAGACTAACAACCCACAGAGACCACTTTTCTTTAAATTCTGCTAGTCTTCATGTAGTCAAGCGTCTGCACCTCAGTGTGTCAAACAATGAGTGAATCCTGTAAAGGAACTTGCTGTGTTAAAACTGATTTTAATCTTGTCTGTAACTACTACATTAAATTTATTGGTGACTTGCTTCCAGTTGCAACTCACAATGTAAAAATATCAATCTGGATAGGAGTTCTGTGCAGGGCAGTTGGTAGAAGATTCTCATTGCACCTTGTTTAAATATTAAATACTTCATTTTTGTGACTCCTTTACAGTGGTGGCTGTCTTTAGGGTTTTTTAATGTTAAGATGGAAAAACCCTAAACCCATATATTTGATATTCCTGTGCTGTTGTTCAGACTCTGATCTTGTAATTAATTTCACACTATAATTTGGGGCTTGACAGAGATTTCTCTGGAGTTGGGTGATCCAGGAGCCTTACATAGTCTCCAGAAAGGATCAGTTCAAGGCAAGATCAGATTACCCTAAGGGTAGGGATTTGTCCTTGCTTTAGTTTTGACCCCTCAATTTCCTTGGTATGTAATCAAATACACTTTTTTCCTTATGTTGTCCTCTCCACTTTTCATTTTGTATACTCGTTGATCCAGTACAGTGGAGGAAAGAGACTAGATAAACAGCTTGAGATTCTTCAGTTTCTGTATAAGTAGTATCTACCAATTCAAGAGTTTGGAAGTTGATAAATATAGTGTTGAGTTCAAACCAGTAAGTAAAGGGATGAAATGTAAAGAGAAGTGATGCAACGGTTAATAACATTGCTGCACCAGTTTTTGTAAATACTGGAGTGATTTTTATAGATCCTCCTTAAATTCTGAGCCACTTTATGGGTGCAAGTTAAAGACTGAAATTTAGAAGCCACGTTTAAAAAACAAAAATAGGGAGTAATAAGTTTGATTGTTATATTTAAAATACAATAGTGTGCACTACCCAGTCCAAGTTGTGTGTATACAAAAGCCTTCATTTCTGTAGTCTTACAAGGCTAATGGAGGCATCATCTCCGCTTTATAAATAATGTAAGTTGTGTATAATGTGGAGTCCCCAGAGACTGCAGAGAAAGCATCATTACCAGCCTTTTCAGCGTGCTGGAGATCTTAAATTGATTTACAGCACTGAACTGGTGCAAAATGATACATCAGAATGACATGGGGTCAACCTGTAAAAGTCTGTGATGTGAGCCTATTAGTTCAGTCATCATAATTAAACCACATTATGGGGGCACCAAAGCAAACATGTGTGGCATGGCCCGTTATGCTTCAGAAATGCGTGATGCAGAGAGCACCATGTGTATAACTTAAAACACTTTTTATATAAAGAGAATTTGAAATATGAAGAGGAATTGTGTGAGCAGAGGTACCCTGATTATTAACCTCCTTCTCCCAGTCATTAGCAATTGAAATGGAGAATGACCATATCTCTCTTATTGGGTGGGGGAAAAGCTGAATTTTATACAGTTCCCGAGATTCAAAAATGATCAGGCTTTACTTGCTGATTACACAAAGTGGTGAAAGCAGGCAAATGGTTTAACACTTTTTTTCCAGTCTACTAGTGATCTTTATCCTACTAGAAGTAGTGACTCTGAATGTATCTTTTGAAATGCTTCTGTACAACTGAGTGGTATATTGTGTCTTGATCATATGTTGAATTATATGACCAGACCTATTTTAAAAACTAACTGATTTTAACTCCTGCTTGTCCATAGCTCACTACTTTCCTTAGTGAAGTCAACTGTGATTTTTTTTTTAAAACAGATTTTTTTCCTGTAAATAGTTTGTGGCATACTAGTTTCTAATGGCATAAACTAACTGTTTTGTATATTAAGCATCTTAAATCTTCTTGCTATTTGTACTGATAGTAAAATCTTCACAATGCACACATGGCAAATCCTGCTTGTGGCTCTTGTCTGTGTCCTTTGGTTTGGTATTTTGGTGGTGGTAGACTTAATTGCTATCTGGTTTGACTTGTGTGAAATCACCACTGTATCATATATGATCTCTGCTAATTGGGAGAAACTAGGTTTTTTTTGCATCCATCTGTATTTATCTGTGATAACTACAGATTAAAATGGATTTGTGAGAGGTTATGGAAAGCACTAGAAAATCAATAGAATATTACGGGAAGATTGAAGAGACAAGTTCAGTCCGATCAGAACAAGATGCCCTTTAGGTAAGCTACTTTCTGAGCTGGAAGTAAAGCATTGAAACCCATTTTTAGGAGAAATATTTGTAAAATGGGGATAAGGAGCTCTCTTGTGCTGTGGTGAAACAGACTAATGAAATAACCTTATTGAAAGACGGACTGTAAAACCTGTGAAAATGGACATGAGGTCACAAAGACTGCCTTGTGGTTAATGAAGTGACTCTTCTAATGTTCTTTTTATTTGTGGTTTATTTTTTTTTATGACCAAGTTGCCCAGTTATACTGTCTTTTTCCATTCCAGTTCCTGCAGAACTAATCTAAACATTTAGTATTCAGAAATCCCTTTTACTTTTTTATTGTGTGTGTAAGGATGTCTGAAATAATTGGAACCACCCAGTTTTATAAAGATGATTTTCTGGATACTGGTTCTTGAATTTCTAAAAATTGGTTTGTTTTTTTTTAAGCCAAAGTAAATTTTAAAACAAACTTTGTTAGTTTAAGCATGTTTTATTATGATGTGAATGTCTTAAGGCTCATCTACATACACAAGTTGCAACCAGTATAGTTAAAGCAGTTTAACCTCCCTGGTGTGGACACAGTTATGACAGTATAAAGGCATACTTTATGGGAAGGGGCCTAAGCTACACGGGTATAAGACCCCTTTGTATTAATATAACTTATCTACATAAGGGGTTGTATTGTTATAACTACCTTGGTTTAAAAAAAAAATTACACCCCAAACTGAAATAGTTATACCAGCACAAGAAGTGTGTGTAGAACAGGCCTCTGGCTTTAAAGATTATACTCCCTTGTAGGGTGAAGTATGGAGGGGGAAGAGGGACAGAATTTTACTGCTGATGGCTGACTACAGAGATTTACAATCTCAGTGGAGAACAAATGTTCATTTGCATAAAGGAAGCTGTCTTTTAGGGAAGAAAAGCCAAACACTTCAAAAAATAGTCCAATTCCAAGGAATGCAAAAGAGCCCAGATTAACAGAATTTAAGGGTATGTCTACACAGCATCTGGGAGTGAGCCTTGCAGACTGGATCCACAGACATGTGGTATTGGGGCTTGTGCTAGCACACTAAAAATAGCTGTGTAGACAGATGTTGCTTTGATGTAGCAGCTCAGGCAGTAGTCCCACCCCATCCCCCAAGGCTTGAGAACTTGAGCTCCAACCCCAGCTGCACAGCTATTTTTAATGTGCTAGTGCATAGGTGGGCAAACTGCAGGCCACATCCAGCCTGTGGGACCCTCCTGCCCGGCCCCTGAGCTCCTGGCCCGGAAGGCTAGCTCCCCTGCTGTTCCCCCTCCCCTGCAGCCTCAGCACGCTGCGCTGCCGGCACAATGCTATAGGCGGCCGGGCAGCTCAGCTGCAGAGCCCGGCCTGACCTGCGCTGTGGTGTGGCTGGCTCCAGCTGGGCGGCGC